GGGAACTCAGTGTTCAAAAGCATGGTTTATCTACTTTATGTACTGAGGGCATGGTATATATTCAGTATTTGTAAAATTTTATTTCAGTTAGTTGTGCCTTTTTTTTTTCTTCATGTAGGACACAAATCCAATTTTTCTTTTTAACAAAGAAATGATCTTATGTGATCGCCCACCTGCTATTCCTAAAACTACATTTTCAACAGAAAATGACATGGAAATAAAAGTTGAAGAATCTCTTATGATGCCTGCAGTTTTTCACACTGTCGCTTCAAGGACACAACTTGCAGTGGTAAGATAAATAATTATTTTAACTAATTGATTCCAAAAAGCATTCAATCTAAATAACAGAGTAGTCTGAGTTATATAGGAAGCAAGCAAAAAACATGAAAAATAATAAACTTTTTTGAAAAAATATTTTATCTTTAATTTATCTAGTTTTTAAATATGAGGCCTGTATATTGCTAGTCATTCTACATTGACAATTGCAGGATTTTAGAGTGGAAAAGCTTACTTAAACACAATTTGGTCAACTTTTCTTCTAGATGATGACATGCATATAATTACTTTTGAACATTCTTTAATAAACTATGATAGAGTAGATATAGACAAAGAGAACTTAAGTTGCCCTATAAATGTGACTCTTTTCCCCTTCACTTCAAGCTTTATCCCTGTCAGTACCCATCATTCGAAACTATGATAGAGTAGATATAGACAAAGAGAACTTAAGTTGCACTATAAATGTGACTCTTTTCCCCTTCACTTCAAGCTTTATCCCTGTCAGTACCCATCATTCGTCTTCCTTAAAGCCAACTGATCTCTTGACTTCTAAATCAGTGATTACTTTTCCTGTTTTTAAACTTTAAATAAATGTAATCATACAGTTTGCATTCTTGTGTGTCTGGCCTCTTTTACCCAACATGTTCCTGAGAATCATTCCTGCCATTGCATGTAGTATGACTTGTATTCATTGCTGGATGGTATTCCGTTGTACAATTATGCCACAGTTTATCCATTCAACTTCTTCTGAATATTGAGATTGTTTCAGCTTTGGGATATTCTGACTAAGGCTGCTGTGAATATTCTTGTACATTGTTTGGTTTACTTTAATTTGCATTTCTGTGGCATATGTAACAAGTAGCCTATGCCTCTGTTCAACTTTACCTACCACTAATGTTTTTAAAGTGTTTATATCAATTTATACTTCCAGCAACAGTATGCGACTGTTTCACTTGCTCAACAAAGTCATTGATACTTGGTTTTCTTGGTGCTTTTAATTTTAGTTATTCCAGTGGTGTGTAGTGGTAAGCCATGGTGGTTTAATTTGCTTACTTAGGTAGTTAATGAACTTGAGCATATTTCCATACATCTAAGAGCCATTTGGATATCCTTTTTTGCGAAGTGACTCTTCATGTGTTCTGACTGTTCTCTATAAGGTTGTCAGTCCTTTTCTAATTGCTTTATAGCCCCTTTTATATAATCTTCATATATGCTCTTTGTTGGTTAATATATGCTGAAAATATCTTATGTTATTTATTCTGTGGCTTGCCTTTTCACTTGACTAATGGTTTCTTGGGATAAATATAAATTACTAGTTTAATGTCCAGTTTCTCAGTAGTCTTGCTCTGGAGTCTCATTTAAGATTTCTTTTTTGCTTATGCCGAAGTCATGAAGGGAACAGCCAATGCAGAGGCCCTGAAGTATATCAGATGTGTTATCTTCCAGAGCCCCCTTTTCTTTTTAATATTTCATATTTAGATCTATAGGTTACCTGTAATTGGTTTTTTATGTATTATTATAAAAGTGGAAAATTCACTTTATGAGTCTAGCTTTTTAAAATTTAATACTGTAACTTGATGTTTTCAAATTCTCACATAAAAGAAATTTTTTTTTAATAATGCCTACATTTTATTGTATGGCTATAAATAATTTATTGATAGACATTGAGGTTGTTTCCATTTCATTTTATAGTGTTGAAATAAAGAACTTTTTAGTATTCCTTATTTGTTTAAGCATAGATAGCATGAATTCCTGTAAGTGGAATCACTGTGCCAAATGATAGATTAATTTTAATTTTGATAGTTATTGCTGAAATGCCTTCTACAAATGCTCTACCAACCTCCATCAGCATTTCTCTTCTTCGCCACTATCATGATGCAGTGTAAACTGTAGATCATAGTGTCTTATTGTAAAATCCCAATTGTATTTCTTATGGTTGTTAGTATGTCCATGCCCGCCCTTTCTCTGTCTCTCTCTTTTATAAAATTGTTTTGTATTTTTCCTGATTGCTTTGTAGAAAACTTATATGTGGAAGAAAATTACCCTTTATTTATCAAGTTTCTTACACATCTTTTCCCAATTATTTATTTGTATTTTGCCTATGTATTATTTTCTCATATGAGAATTTATACATCATTTAAATTTGTCAAGCTTTTTTCATTTCTACATTTTGTGACAAGCTTAAAAGAGTTCCTTGCTTCGAGATTAAGATCATATTTTTCCCCAGTCCTTGTATGTATTTATTAATTTCATAATTTGTTCCTTTCGAATTTTTGTATAATGTGTGAGTAATATTTCTATTATTTTTTTCAACTTACTGCCTAGTTATATTGATACCACTTATTAAATATCTTTTCCCCATTCAAAATACTATCTTTATTCTCTAGTAAATTCTAATATGAACGTGGTTCTATATCTTGATATTTCTCCATTTTAGTAGCAAACTTTATTGCTACTTTATTGTGTGATTAGAAATGTTTCTCTTCCCTTCCTCACGACATTTAGTCTATTTTAGTTTTTGTGTATTGATTTATTTTTCCATATAAATTTTAGTATCAGGTTTAAATTTTGGAAATGTTGTTCTCAATAATTGTATAGATTCATGTAGGAATACTTGAATTACGTTTATCAAAGTTGCTGTTTGTAAGTGGCATCTTTTCTTTCATTATACTTCTATTTATATATAAGAAGGCTATTATTGACTTTTATGCATTTATTTGGCAAACAACCATTTTCTCATTGTGACTTCTTTTTTTCTTTTATGTAATTAAAAAATGTTCATGTCCTGGTTCGGAATCTTGGCATGTATCAATTCTTAATTTTGTTAAAGAAGTTTTTTGTATTTTTAAAATCAGAAATATCTGACTTTTTAAACATGGGGATCTATTTAACAAAACATATTAAACCATTCTTTCTTTCCAGTTATAAATCCTGTTGGAATTTGTGTATTGCTTTAATGTGTCACTCAGTTCTAGTTCCATATATATACAATAAAATTTTACATCATTATTTCTGTGTTAAATTGTTCTGTAGTTTCTTTTGGTGTGTTATTTTCACATTTTGAAATCGTTGGTATTATTCCCATTTTAAAGAACTATTTGGAAGCTGTTTAGTTTTTGTTTTGGGGGGGTCTGGTGCAATTTTGTGGGGAAGAAAGTTTTTAACAGCTTTATTAATTTCTTCTATAGGATTAGTTTTTTGACACTCAGGAACCATTTGTTGACTTTTACTGAGGAAATTGTTCAGTTGGTCTAAGTTTTCTTATTACATTTATAGAACGGAGTTGAGTATCTTAACCTTGTGTCTATGTTTATTTTCTAATATTAATTTATTTTGTGCATTTGTAATTTCTTCTTTTTAATATTTGATTACATTTGCTCATCCAAGGTGGTAGCTTCACCCAAGGAACATTTGGAAATACATGCAGGCAGTTGGGATTCTTAAGGTGACTGGGGAGTGCAAATAACATTAATGGGCAACTGAGCTGGGAATACTCAGTGTAATACTGAACAACGAAGAATGCTAACTGCCCCACTAGGAATGAGTTTCTGTTGAGAAACATTAGGTTATCAGATGATTTGTCTACTTTGTTGCTAATACCAGTAGGAACATTTGGAAATACATGCAGGCAGTTGGGATTCTTAAGGTGACTGGGGGAGTGCAAATAACATTAATGGGCAACTGAGCTGGGAATACTCAGTGTAATACTGAACAACGAAGAATGCTAACTGCCCCACTAGGAGTGAGTTTCTGTTGAGAAACATTAGGTTATCAGATGATTTGTCTACTTTGTTGCTAATACCAGTTTTAGGTGTATTATGTTACTTTCCTATATTTAAGGCCACAAAGTTTCCCACTGAACATTATTTTAGCTGTATCTGACAGGTTTTGATAGTTCATGTTTTCAGTTTTTTATGTTTATTTTTAGTTTTTGGTGGCTGGCTGGTATGGGGATCTGAACACTTGACCTTGGTGTTATACCACCATGCTCTAACCAACTGAGCTAACCAACAAGGCCTTTTAAAGTAGATGTTCTACAATTGAGATTTTGGTTTCTTTATTGACCCAAGTATTATTAAGAGAGATTTTTTAAGTTTTCTAGGTGCTAGAGTATTTGTTTATTTTTGTCATGGTTTCATTAACTTTTAGTTTTATTGTTTTTGGTCAGACAAGTCTATATTGTAATTTTTGGAATAGCTTTTTTTTTTTTTTTTTCCTTTTTGTCTTTTTTACTGACCGGTAATGGGATCGCAACCCTCAGTGTCACGCCCGCACCGGGGACCGGCAATGGGATTGCAACCCTCGGTCCTGCGCCTGCACCACACTCAGCCAGTGAGCGGGAACCGGTCTCCACATGGGGTCCAAACCCTCGGCGGGAGTGCCGCGGCACTCCTAAGCGGCGCACTCTCCAGTGCGCCACCGGGCCGGCCCTGGAATAGCTTTTTTTTTAATTGTCTAATATTTGGTTAGCTACTGTATTATATGAACATTTGAGAACAAATGTTTATCTGTTTTCATGATGTGGCAATTGATATATATCAATTATATTAGCTTTATCAGTGATGTTATTCTGAGTTGTTTGAATAATGAGTAAGTTTATCCCATTTACATTTTTTGGTAACATATATTGTTCTTACTTCTGGCATCTTATGTATGCTTTCTGTTTTGAGTGCTTCTCTTGTTTTTAATCTTTCCTATTGTCTGTTACTTTCTTTGTGTGCATGTGTGTTCCTTTGGATATTTTGGAAGGTTTATACTCTGTTTTGTGTTCTCCTAATGGTCCCTTTTGTAATTATGTCTTTATTTAATATGTATAACCTCTTCTCTTTATACAGTATCTATTGCTACTCCAAGCAGCTGCAGATTTAGTATACTACTACTCCCTTCCCCTTCCCCCGCTCCTCCACTGGCCAATTTGGGTTAGTTATCTTATTTTTTGTTGTTTTATAGGTTACCATTTATACTTTTAATTATGTTTGTATTGCTGTTTCTGGATTTTTCTGTCTTCAAAGATCTTTCGACTGTCGTAGTGTGAAGAAATTAGTAAACTTAGACTGTGTTTAATCTGTCTCACCTTCTACTTCTAAACATCTTTACATTCTCTTCTGTTAAGTAGTGCCCATAGTTCTTTTAGCTTTCATCCTGAAATGGGCTTGTGCTCACTGCCTGTTGTTTTCCCCATATGTTATCTATATTTATTTCTTAACTCAGGGAAGGTAGTTCTCTTGTAATTTCTTCAAGAAGGGATCTTGGGGACTATATTACTTACTACACATTTGAAAATATTTGTGGGCTTGGGTTTTTGAAAGACAGTATCTCTCTGTATATTGTGTCATCTTTAAGACTTTGCTAGCATCTACAATTATGACAGACTAGTCTGCAGCCAGCTTGATTTTCCCCTCTTTTCTGTCCTATATTGATTTAAGGGTTTTTTTAATTTAATTTTATTTTTGGTTCATGTACCATGGACCTTTTTGTATGTTTTATTTTATTTTTGTTTTGTTTTTGGCAGCAGGCGAGTACAGGGATCACACCATGCTCTAATCAACTGAGCTAACTGGCCAGCCCAGGTTATTGAAATCCAGTTATTTTACTAGCCTGTGACCTAGTGTTGATTGATCTATATGTGATATTTTAGGGATATTGTCTGATTTTTATTTTCAGATTCAAGTAGTAAGAATCTTTGAATATTTTTCTTGTCAGTTTCTTTAGTTCTTTTCTTCATCGATACCACCTTTTATCAACCACTTTCTTGGTAATTTTATTTATTTCACTTATTTTGATGTTTAAAGGCTGACATACATACACTTCCTGTGTTTTTAGCAGTCTCCTTCCAATGTGGCCCTCAATTCAGTGATTGCCACGTCATTTTTTATCACCTTATATCACCTTAAACCAATGAATCTCTGAGTTCAGCTTTTTTAAAAAAAATTAATTAGTCTATTTTTTCCCTAAACAAAACTAGTTTTAAGTTTTTAGGAAAGAATTTGGTCATAATTCTCATTTGATATAGGGGAAAAGTTCTTCTAAAAAAAATTAATTAGTCTATTTTTTCCCTAAACAAAACTAGTTTAAGTTTTTAGGAAAGAATTTGGTCATAATTCTCATTTGATATAGGGGAAAAGTTCTTCTGCCTTTGATTTCCCTTATTCTTATTATTTTTTTTATAGTAATTTAGTGTAGATTTCATATTGGTACATCTTTTAAAATTTTTGCTTGAGTTGAATTCTTCCTAGAAGACAGTGTAGGAGAGGATGTACGGCAGCTCCTCCTGGCTAGCAGGAAATAGCCCTGTATCACAGGGGATCCCTGATAAAAAGCAGAATGTATATGTGTGGAACAGTGAGAGAGATGACTTATCCTTTCCTTCACTTTACAAAAAATCTAGCAGCTCTAGGGCTGCTTTTCCTCTCAGTTTTTGTCTGGCCTTTTGCTTGGTTAGCCAGTAGGTCGTATAGATAGGTTTTATGGTTTCTTCTCCTGCTACTCGGGATTTCAGATAAGACCCAGAGAGGTTCAGGTAGCCCACCCAACTTTCACCAGGAGGATTCATTTCTTTCCCCCATTTACCTAAAGATCTGCAATAGTAGGTACCTTCTCTCTCTATTCGATCCAACTTGATCCAATTTTTGTATTCTTCACAGGTTTACTGCATATATTGTATGTGTGTGAGGTAGGGGCAATATAGTTATTTCCTATTTTCACTGAGATATGGAGTCTTTGTTTCCTATTGTATTTAGTTGGTTTCAGGAAGGAGAAGCAGGCAGAGACGTCTTTACTTCATCATCTCAAAACTGGAACTCCCATCCTTTCCTTATGACACATAAGAGAATAAGGACAGGTGAGGTTAAGTAATTTCTTCAAGGTGAAATAGCCAGTGAGAATGAAGAAGGACCTCTTTTCTCCATGGCCCGTGCTTTTTTCATTTGCATCCCTATACTGCCACAAAGCAAACATTAATATTTTTACCTGTAAAGATACTTCTTTTGGGTTCAGTTTGCTCATTAGCAATATTGTCTCCTAAAGCAGAGGGTGATAATGGTTTTTGTTTGTATGTTTATACCACTTCAGCAAAATATACAGAGAAAAAGTGATTTTGTTTTTCATTTCATCCCCCGCCTTATCCCAGTAATGATCACATATTTGTTATGCATTTTCCCAGACTTTTACATACACACACACATACACATGGGATGTTTCTATCTCGTATCTCTGCTGTTTCACATTTTCTAACCTGCCTCAGGCCCCTAAATAAATGTAAGCATACTGTATATATTATCCCTTTTTCATTGTTGCAAAGTACTCCATTTTGGAAATATCATAAATTAAGCAACCCTCTCTGAATAACTTTTTAGGTTGTCCTCCAACTGCTGTCATCTTTTTATTTTGCTGTTAAACAGTGCTACAGTCAACATAATTAAATATTTATGTTTATGTATACCTGTGCCAGTATTTCCACAGGATAAATACCTAGAAGCACAATTGCTATGCCAAATTATATATTTTGTTTGTATAATTGTTTCCAAATTGCACTTAAGCCAATTTGAAAGTATCCATTTCCCCACCCTGAAGACGACATTTTTCTGACTTCAGTTTTGTCATTGTCATAGGTGAGAGTAATGGTACCCTATTAATTTGTTTTTCAGTTCTTGGGTTATTACTGAGGTTGAATGCTTTCCATTTATTCTTTGTGTGTCTATGGTATTCTCCTGTTCACCTACTTTGTCTAGTTTCCTATTAACCCAATAGGATTACCCACCTTTTGAAATGCTTCTTTCCCCATTTTTATTTGTCCATATTCTCTTCACACTTCAGTACTTAAATGCTCTCACCTTCAGAAAGCCTTGGCTTCTTCTTTTCTGTCTTCTTTGTCTTTTAACTTTTATGTCTGTCTTAAAGCAGTTAACAAAGTTAGAATGATCTCTTTTATTTATTAGCGGACTAAAATCTTTTATGCCTAAGGACTTATTTTATTCGTGTATCTCCTACATTGTGTTCTGGTAGTATATACTTCATAGGTATTTTTATATTTGTTTTTTGCAACTGAATTTCAGGTGTTCATTCTAAAGGTATTTTTGCTGTTTACATAAAATATTTTCAAGAATTTTATTAGATCACAAATTGTGTTAAATTAATCTAAAAGTAGCTAATGTATTTTACTCCTTAGTATTTGCCTTCTGCAAAGATTGTTTTTAATAAAGATGTCAGCCTTGACATAACTCTTTAGAGGACAGTGACATTTGAGATGGGACATGTTGGTCATTAGTCAAATCATAGGAAGCCCCACTGTTCTATTCTCCAGAGGTAATGTCTTAATGAATTCTGTTGACTTCCCTCTTAGGATGCTCAGAAACACCTCAGTGTTCATATCCTGTGTTACTTTTAGGTTTTATAAGTATGCACAGTAAGATAAGCTAACAGAGTCTATTAAAAATACTTCAAAAAATGTGCTTAGAATGCATCATGCGTACATGTATGTACACATATACAAACAAGTGCACACAAACCATTGCCTCCTTTTACAGTTTTTTTTTTCCCTGTTTCCATATAGGAAATGTATGAAGTTGCCAAGAAACTTTGTTCTTTTTGTGAAGGTCTTGTCCATGATGAACATCTTCAGCACCAAGGCTGGGCTGCAATCATGGCCAACCTGGAGGACTGTTCAAATTCATACCAAAAGCTACTTTTCAAGTTTGAAAGTATTTATTCAAATTATCTGCAATCCATAGAAGACATCAAGTTAAAACTTACTCAGTATGTTTGCCATTAAAGTGGATAATAAGATGTTTGTTTAACATGGCTTTGAAATTGATCAGTAGTTTGAGTCACTGTAAGTTTGTTTCTCGTAGGCCATATGTTTATCATTACCGAGATTTATTTTTGAGCCTTTTATATTAGTGCTTTATAGATTGTAGTTTTTATAGA